CCTTTTGATTTGACCTTTGACTAAATACATTTCTCATTGCTGTATGGATGGTATTTCATCCCCTGGATGCAGCGTGTTGCTTTATCCTGGATGAGGCAGTGATTTCAACAGTATTGCTTTCAAGACTATGAGAAGAAGAATATGCCATGTTTTCTGTTGTTAAAAAAAAATTTCACCTGTGCAAACCCTTGTTAGATGGCAAGAAAAACTCATTTTTCTACCGTAGCAAATTAGAGTTCCATAAAGCAATTTCAATATTAATGCTATTTAATGAAGATATGATATATATAAGAAATCCAAATCAGAACTTCCTGATATAACCCACCATGTAAAATAGCTCTTGGAAGGCTTCAGAGACTCAGAAGTTAATTCATACTGAAATGAAAAGAGATAAAGTTTCTATTATCAGTTTTTCCTTAGTTACCAGGAAGAGAAAAATCTACCATCTTAAAAAAAAGAAAAAAAAAAGGGGGGGGGGAAGAAAAGGAGAAAGGCTGCCTGTCAAAGTGAAGCATAGACTAGTTACAGCGTGACATGAGTTTGATTTAGTGGTACCTGATTATTGCCTGTAGGCAGCTGGCATTTCCTCCAGCAAATTTTCCTCTTTTATGCTTAGGTCATTTGAATGCTTTTAAAGATGGGAGCCCTGTAGACCTAAATGTGTGTGAAACACTGCATGGGAACTGACAGCACACACTTCCTCACACCATCCTCATAACACTGTCCATCTGGATTTGGTCAGAAAGGAAACCCACTGGAATGTAATTCCTTAGCCTGCTAAAGGTCGTTCTAGCATGCATATAATTCATGCAATTATATATTATTAAAAGGAGTATTAGTATAGAGTCTCCCCATACCTAGGCAAGAAAGTCATTTCCCTTTCTTAATTTCTCAATCTGACCCTTTTTTTTTTTTTTTTCCTTTGCAAAGTAAAGGAGAAACGTCCCTGCCAGGGATGGCAGCATGGCTGTTGCAAGGCTTTACGTGGCAGCTGGGGGAGGCAGACCACGTAGGCTTGAGCCCTTCTGTAACTGAGAGTCAAAGGAGAGTGCCCCTGTCCTGAGGCTGTTAGCTCACCCAGCGTTGATGGGACCACCTCGCTGTTTGCGCTTTTCCACCTCCAGCCAAAAACAGATTCGTCCTTTGCTCTGCTTTCGAAAGAAAGGCATTTACACTTTTCCTCTCTGGTGAATGGTTGGAGGTACCTCCCTGAAAATCCCTGTTTTGTTGTTGCTGTTACATTGTTTAGAAAAGCAAAAAGGCAGCTTGAAAAACACAGTGGGTTAAGGCATGTCATTGTTTGGTTGATTTGTGTAGAAATTCTCCTGTATTTAAATGTTTTCAGCTTGTATACAGCTTTGTTGCTTACAAAATAAATCCTAATTGACTTCTAAAATGCTATTGGCATAGGGCACCGTTATTATTCCAGTTATTATTATGCTTTTAGCTCGAACATCATTACTGCACCACAAGCGGATTTATATGTAATATACTCCTCTGTTTACTCTTGGCCTTCCAAAAATGATGTGGGAAAGTAAGAAACAGCAAATATAATATCTCCCAGATATCAAAGGTGATTCCTTAAAATTTGAGCTAAGGCCTATTTTTCAGTAAACAGCTGGACAGAGAGAAGCAGGAAAGCAGAATTTTGACGAATTTTAATCGGTCTCACGCGGCCCCACACGCTGCTTTTTCTTGTTTTTTCTTCAGACTTTGTCCCATTGAATATTTTGGAGTTGTGGTTTCTAGAGCATTAAAACATAAAAGAAAGCGGCAAATGCTTCGAACTATAGAAAGTAAGTTGTGAGTAATGAGTCAGGCTGGACTGCAAGAGACTTTAACTAGAGAAAGCCTGGACATTTAGGCATCCGTTGCCTTACGGAGGTGTGCTAGTGGGCTACATGAAGAGGATGCACTATGCCACTGACCACTTCTGCATCTTGTGACTGTACAGACTGAGTAAACGTATGACTGAGTCTAGAGGAAACTCAGGGAAAGCACTGTTTGAATACTTCTCACCATTTCACAAAACTAGACTTAATTTTGAAGTTTAAAAACTGGAGAGTGCCTTTCTGAGAGATGATCCAAAAACCTTTAAAATGCCAAAATACAGTAATAACATTAAAAGATTTTAAAAGGGAGGCAAGCTGAGGCAAGGAAAGACAGTTCTAAGAAAGACAGTTCTCCTTGCACGGAAATGTTTATACAATTTTAGGAAACCGCAGAAATGAACAGGTAACAAAGTATTTAGCCAAATTCTGTCTGATATGTACCTTCTGTCAGGACAAATTTTATCATTTGTTATTTTTCAGTATTAACAATACTGAGCTGTATAAAAGAGGAGGAGGCATAATTAACTGTGACTCACATAGCTGTGAGCTTAAAAAATAAGCTGAAAATCCAGATGCCATTAACATACACATAGAAGATTGACTGAAAGGCTCATTTCTGCCAAAAAATGAAAACCCCCCCCCCCAGTCTCTTAAAACGTGTCCCAAAACATATTAAGAGATTTTTTTTTTAATTACAGCTGACTCTTAGACAATAAAACTGAGGTAAAAGCTACTGGCGTATGAACACAAAACATAATAAAACAACCGGCTAACCTGGACAGTAGTGAATAACAGGATTCAGAGGAAAGCTAGAGGTAAAATAGCCAACCTACTAGTAAAAAAAAAAGAAAAGTTTATTTGCAATCCTGATAGAGCTAGCTGTTATTTGGGAAAATACTTTTACAGGTTCTTTTTGTTGTTGTTTTGGGTCTTTTTCTATGAAACGCACTGTAAAATGATGATCAGTGAGCCTTACTTCAATATGAGATAAATTATATAAAGTGATAATTAAATATAGAGTTTTAAATCATATAGTCATGATCTGGAGTGGCTTTTTAATGGAAAACAAAAGAGCTCAAAAGATCAGGAGTTAAAAGCATGAGAGAAAATAATCTTATAATGAACACGAAGCACATAATTGACCTCTGACAGAAATTCAGTATTCAGAAAGATACAGATTAACTTAATTTGCTAAACACTTGAAAGGTATATAAACTCTTGTTTTTCAGAGTTCAGCCTGATTCCTAGTAAATCGGAACTTTCCCTGCATGTACCTGTCTTTTCATTGCTGTCCACAAGATAATTTCTTGGAGTTTTTTCTCCAGTACTGGCTTGTGTCAGCAGCAGATTGCTGGAGCTGATTTTGGCAGGTAATTCAAGTTATGTTGTTGCTGTGCAAGCGGCTGCAAGGTGAAGCAGACATGGTGCAGAAAAGATAGGAAAAGGACCCCAATATTTGCCCTGTAGAGAAAGTGGTCACAGCACCTGCGTGTCTTTGAGGAGACTTTGGTGGTATCCCTGCTGCCCTACTAAGATGCCTTAGTTCAGCCACTGGAAAGAAGACACATCCCAAGTGACCCAGGAGCAAACAAAGGAATCAGGAAGCATACCCAGAAAAAAAAAAGCTTCCATAGGCCCTTTTTACATTTTCTTTGTGCTTTGTGCAGGTTTCACATCAGAGGGAGTTTTGCTTCTTGTTTCAAGGAAAGCTGCTTTCTGAGAAGGCTAATATTCTTTCCAAAGCATGAAATCATTTATTTTTTTTTTAGCTTGGGCCAATGATCTAATTTTTTCCAGCTCCATTGCAATAAAGTTAATTCTTCCAGAGTTCCCAAGTGCACAAACAAGATAGATTGTAGCAAACTCTCTAACTGCATACTCTCATTTCACTGGAGTCACAAACAATATGTTTTTTAGCCATATATCCAGCAGCAAAAGGCTCAGATATGGTAATTTTCACATCCTTTACTTCCTCTTCTCCTCTTTCCTTGTTATTCATCTCAATTTATTTAAGGGAAGAGATGTTTTGTTGTGTATATGCTTTCATACTGGAGTGCTGAAAAGGACGCGTGCAGCATCCATCAGAGAAAACTGAAGAATACGTCTGTGTCTGAAGACATATTCAGGCTGGGCTGTTGTATCATGCAGCAGCTGAGGAGGGAACTGGTCTAAAGGGAACCAGCTGGGCTGCTCTCAGCTGGGTGGTTTACTGGATCCTTCATGTTAGTGTCTTTTTTAATAACTACCTGCCTTAAAAGGAGGCACACACAGCAGTCAGTGGTTCCTCATAGTCAGCTGAATAAGCACAGCTTCTAGTTTTTAACGTGATTCCTTTCATAACTTTTTGATGTTCCTGTTAATTCAGAATTAATATTCCGGTAATACTTTTATGTGCTGTCTTCCAGGGCCTAATAACCATTTATTTTTGTCGAATGCTGCTGAGTTAAATTGAAATTCTAACAAAAGTTTCATTCCCTGATACCTAAGTTGTTCTTGAAAACTGTAAACTAACCTAAGTTATACCAAAAGTGTTGAAAGTTAAGATCTGCAATTTTAACCCCCAAAATGGCACTGAAGTTGCAAATTTTGCTCAAAGAAGCAGGATTAAAACAGAAGTGAGCTTAAGGTCTATGTAGGCACTGCAAGCAGAACTCACAACTCTGTCCCTCAGTCATAGCTACCATGGAGAAAATTTCGTCTCAAGCAAGAATGGAAGTATTGAAGGAAATATTTTGATTTTATAACACTTTCCATAACATAGGAGCATCCCTGGAATGCACATTAGAAACTGCATGATCTGAAAATTAGCTGAAGAGACAATGGCCGTAAAGACTCCTTAATTCAACTGTCAAGCGTTCAAACCCCACAGAAGCCACTAAGAGACTGCTACAGAAGATGAAGCGAGCAAACTGCTGGCTGTGTAATTATTGTCCCAGCAGGCTCATCAAACACCTCCCAGCATGCTCTCCTGCCTCTTCTGGGGATGTTTTGACTAAATCTAACAAAATAATAGCTTCAGTCCCCTCTTTTTATAGTCACCCGCAGTACAAATTGGATGCAGTATCAAGTCCTAGAAGGAAACTGATGGTTCTCTTCAGCA